ACCGACTTAGCCACCTCACATCGTTGTGATATATTACGTCTCCGTATTCAGCCTGGATGTCAAGCAAGAACTGCTGAAACTGTCGGTGGTATAGAGCTTTAGAGCGAATAGAGTTGATCGCCTTTGCCACTGGTTTCATTACATGGTCAAATTTGAGATGTTTGGCACAGAGATCCTGCTGGTGAATTATACAGTGAAGTTTAATAGTGTTACCTCCTCCTTCACTGACTGTACTGCAGATCAGTGTGGACAATCCACTTCGCTCACCAGCCATGGCGGGCGTACCATCGGTAGTGATCCCAGAAACTTTACTCCATGGTAGTTTCATGTCATCAACAGCTTCACAAACAGAAACGAATAAATCCGTTCCTCTGGTTTGGCCTTTAAGGCTTTGGAGGTCAAGCAGCTCCTCTGTCACATTCATGTTGTCGTCAACTCCTCTTAAAAAAATCAGTAGTTGCACAGTGTCAGATGCATCTGTGCTTTCATTGCAGGCTAATGAGAAATTATCAAAAGCCACTCCCCTGTCCCCCAGTTGTCTCTGAATATCTGACAGTATCAATTCAATGTTTAGCTATTAACATGGCCACTTCGTAGCTTGCTTTGGTGATATTTTCCTTTGACTCACAGGCCCTTGTGAAGAATTGCTGTTGTGATGCCAGAGCAGCTTAGAGTTGCTTCACTTTTTCAGCGTGGTCACTGCTAGCCTGTTGTATGTGCTAGCATGTTTAGTCTCGTAGTGTCTCTTTACGTTGAAATCCTTAAACAAGGCAACCGTCTCTTTACAAATTAGACAAACGCAATTGCCTCGATTTTCAGTGAAGAAGTATTGTAATTCCCACTGCTCCTGAAAGCGGCCTTCACTGTCAACTTTCCTCTTTTTCTTTGCAGTCGCCATGGCAGAAATAAATGGAGAAGGGTTCGCAGATCCAGATAGTATTAAAATGATGCTGCCACCGTGTGGTGAAAGGAGGAATTACATTTTTAAAGTTTTATGATTTATTTATTCTGACAAAGCTAGCGAGCCATAAATAACACATTATAAGACCGAAGCTGAGGGGCATATGAATTCTTAAGGCAGGCCGTGATTGGCCCGCGGGCCAGACTTTGGACATGCCTGATCTTGAGTAACACATTTTTTTGAGTTTTAAAGGTGATCGGGGCCAAGTACAAAAAATTGCAGGTCATCCAGGTTTTTATGTCCTGAAGGCATTCTTGTAATTTAGATAATTAAGGTTGTAATGCAATGGAAACATTGTTCGCTGCTCCATTAAATAGGACGAACCTTGGCAGCGAGAGATATTTCTAGTTCCCTCTGCTCAGAGATCACTTGGGCTCTGCTACAACACAGAGAGCTAACATTATGCTAGCAAGATTGAAATTCAATTACACTGCGTACGGTCGTCAGAAAGTACATATAATATGACATTATGTTTAACAACAAGACTAGCTAGCTATCAGCCTTGTAATTGTCCCCAAATCAATATGCAGATTTTATGAACAATAGGTCCTGTGTTCTGACGGCTGCAGTCTGAAGTAGCGAGCTGAATAGCGTATGGGATGTGGGAAGATCACTAATAAAAGTTCAGAGGAGCAGTTTAGGGGCTGTGGTGTTCAGAGGATGAGGAACTGAAGGACTACACTCAGTGTTGTCAGATATATTTATGAAATATTTAGATTTTCATTCAGTTTATTTCAGCACATTCATATAGAACAATGAACAGATAGTTTTACTGGAATTACTCAGTAGGTGTCCTACATCAGGAATTAATGGACACTCACAATCAGAATCTAGTATTCACCCAGACCATGGTATAACATCACATATTGTCAACAACACAATGGAAGTTGATGTGTTTATGTAGAAAATGTAGAAAATTAGAGGACCAAGGGTTGAACTGAGTTCTTGGTACCAACCAGTTTGATACTTGATTAAAAATGTGTGATTTGTCAATATGCTGACGATCAGATTTTCTATATATTACATTTTTTACTCAAACGTTCTTTACATTATTTAATTTGTTTCACATTGAGGCAGTTATGGGTATGTAAGTGATTGATTGATGAACAAAGCTGACTTTGAGCTCCATTACATGTCAGTGGATTTATTGTTACCACCGTCCTTCATTTCATGTGCTTTTTATTTTCTAACCAACTCTGTATCATACTATTGAAGTTTAACAGTGTGTGACTCCCTCTAGTGGATGTTGTGGAGTATTCTGTTGTCTTTGCTCCAAAGGTTTTTGTACAGAGTTTTGGTGTTTCCTGTCACTGTGGGCTGCAGAGCACAGTAGTACACAGCAGAGTCTGATCGTGGCACTTTAGCTGAGATGATCTCCAGATGTACACGTTTCTCGGTTTTGTTAATGTGAGCTTTGAAATCAGAATCAGTTGGATGAATCGATCCTCCCTCTGTGATGTAGAGCAGGAACTCTGGTCTGGATCTCTGGTATTGTCGGTACCATTGGATATTGCTGATAGCACCATCATATTTACAGGTCAGGTTGATGTTTCTTCCCTCTGCAACATGTTCTTCAGTACTGTCTGGCTTTATGATGTTCATGGAACCCAGGGCTGCAAAATGAGTATTATTCATGTCAGTTAGTCTGCAAGACATTCTGACATCAACAGAAATTATTTTTCTTTCATCTTTGATCAATTTTAGATACATTTAATAAACCAAATGTATTGTTCTATCATGGAAATTGTAACCTTACACAGATAAAGCTCTATATCTGGTTAACACAGCAGGTTAAATGAGACTTTGATCTCTGTTCTAACACTCACCTATAAAGTGAGAGAAAAGTAAAAAGAGGTAAAGCAACATGTCTTTGGAGTTGTTAAAGTCAAACTGACAGCAGATGAGCAATGTTCTTCCACTGCAGTAGAATGAAAAAACTAAAGAGCCTCTCTGCTGCACAGCCCTTCTCCTCAACATCAAGCTGATTGTGCTTTTAGTTCCTCAAACATTTCTGCTCTGGAGACAGAAACAATCTCATTGGTTGAGTTCAATGTCAGTGGGAGGGGCCAGAGAAAATCCTTTTTACAGATTCTCTGCCTACCAAAGTTTAATGTAACCAATGACATTGTTTCTGCCTCAGAGAAATGTTTGCTGAATGTCCAGTTTTTTAAGATTTAGTCTTTATTCTGGGAACATGGAGGACATTTTATAGTTCCATAATAATAATTACAGCAAACATTAATATTGGATATATTGAATCAGCCCCAGCCAGGATCAGAAGCCATCATGACTTAATGTCTTACCCTGTCTGTTATGGTGGTGGATGACTTGTGGTCGATGACTTTGACTCCTTCCCAGTCAATGCTGTGACTGATTTTGGTCTGGAGTTCTCAGACAGCTGATGTTGTCTGTTTCTGTTGTTCATTCAGTCTCTTGTTCAGGGTTCTTGCTGCTTCACAATAGTGTTCCCCATAGTTATTTAATGTGTTATCAGAAACCACTCCAGTCTTTCTCTTTGGATGAACCCTGAACCATTACACTTGGTTGAAAGCTCCTTAAAGCTACTTTCCTCGACCATTGAGGCCTCCAGGCTCAAATTCAGTTTCAATTTCACAGCAGTGTGATGTGCAAACTCATTGTAGAGAAACAATAAAAGGTGGAATCAATGATAAACAATTTGAATAAAAATCGCTTTCCTCACAAATGCATTAATTAGTAAACAATATGACGTAAAATCTATCAATTCCTTGTCTATAGTATATATCGGGTTTTTTTTATATTGTTGCGCCCCCTGGTGTCACTGAGTGTTTGGTGTTTGTTTGTGCCAGGTCAGATTGTGGTGTTGACTGGGGGTTAATTGGTGCCAACTGGGAACACCTGGGCCCAGTGCTCCCAGGCTATATAATCAAGGCCCTGTTGCCCGTTCTAGCTCTCTGCTGCTTCTGGTTTGTATTGTTTGACTTGTCCTAACTTGTTGTTTGATTTGTACTAATTTGTTGCTCTCTTTTTGCAGGCACGCTGCCAGTGGGTTGAGGACTGCTGTGTGGCCTCATCTTATATTTTGTTTTGTACACATTACAACATACATACATTATCCCTCATGCACACCTTACTGACTACACTGGTATTCACATTCTATATTTAAAGTATTTAGTTGTTCAGTTCATAATTTGACTTTTTGTTCAATAAATTACTTTTTGTTATTCCTTAAAGTGGTGTATCTCTCATATTTGTCATGCCTTAAGAGCCAGGGTGTGACAATATGATAAACCTTTGTTTTGTTCTGTGTTTTCCTTTTATGTTGCGCATGAGCCCCAACGTGGGCATTTTGATTTATTCTGTCCAAATCTGGGACAATAAGTCATCCATAACCTGTATTAATTCAAAGAAAAAAAAATAAAGCTTTTGATTTGGACAACTGAAGCATTAGCCTTTGTCTCTTTCAAAACACTTCTCATTAATGATTGCTATATATGCAGACTAATATACACTACACTGCATAACTTTACAACTTAGTCATTATGAAAAACAAACAGTGGGTGGTATGACTCGGGGCTCAATTGTCTTTGTAGCCTACTATAAAGCTGAGGATCTTGAAAAGAGAAGGTCAAATAGTTGATCAATGAAAACAATGTAGGGCAGGAATAACATTGGTCAGTACACAAATCTAAGTTATTACTCATATTCATAAGCCAACATCTCATAAGATGTCATAGGCCTATACATTTTATTGTGTACTATACAGTATATACAGTACTTCACTGCCTTTTCATTATCATTAACTTTGACTTTATTGCACTGCTCTTTTTCTATATATTTTGTTCAATTTGTTTTTCTGTTGTATTATTCTGTATTTTTATTCTTAACCACCATAAATTTCTTTTTGGTTCTATGTCTGTGCTAATTATGTTCTTGTGCTGCTGGAACACCTAAGTACCACTAGATACAACCCTAACTCTTGATATCTACAGTATAATCCAAGTGAATTATTAAGTGATCAATGAGAAAAACATAAAAAACACACCATGTCACAACATGATCAAATGTTCTGTAGCCATTTATTCTCGAACACAAACTCACTCATCTGTGTGACATTCACAATAGGCCAAATTATTTCTCTTGTCCATCATTTCCTCACAGAATTTCCACATCCTCTGTGTGTAAAATGTGAATTTGAAGGGCTCCAGGATTGATCATTGATCTTTTCATAGTCATCCACTTGATCTTTCCACACCCTCCCATACTGCAGAGCAGCCTCAGCCTGGTTCTCCTCCCCCATGTACAGAACATCAGGCAGGTCCACTTTGGCAGAGAACAGTTGTTTGTTGGCCTTAACCCACTCTGCTGCATGTCTGTAATCGCGAAGAATGCGATCTTCAACCGAGTCCTATGGAAAAGACAGAAAGATGTCTGTACCATAGCTACTGCACCAACAGTATCTGACCAATAGATACTGTGAAAAAGCTTACCCCTTCCACTTGTGTGTCCACGTCGGCAGGTCTGACGGAGACCTCAGCCTGCTGCTCTTCTTCCTGAAAATATATAGATAAGCAAAATGATCAGTTGTAATATTCAAAACACAAGCTCCAAAAAGAAGTAAAAGAAAAGATCCCATCAGTGCCCTCCTCTAATATGTCCACCTAGACATATTAGAGAGCTCAACAAATGTTAATTTTCCAATCCAATCATGCATTATCTAGACACTTTATTTTTAAACTGCAGACAGCAGGTCTGACCTTAACTTGTGAATGGCATATTCTTTAAAGCGACCCCACAATTGCAGTACAATTGGAAAAAAGATTGGTAAAAAAAATAGGGAAATGGAAATGTTGGTTTCTGACCTGAAACAAAAGAAAAACTCAGATGGAACTCAAACAAAATTAAAATCTGACCTCAGTTGTGTCATCCACCTTCCTTTTCATCAGCCTAAATACTGGTGGCACCTCACTTCGCAGGAGGGCTTTTGATGCATCTGTCCAGTGGGCGAACAGCTTTCCATGGCTCAAAAAATGATTAAACAATAGAAATAAATAAAAATTTCTTGTAACAATTTCAAGTCATTAAAATATAAAAATCTTTGCAGTCTCACCTTCCAAGGTCAAAATTTTCCATAAGGATGATACACCACCACTGTCGCAAAAGTGGCATGTCCATCTGAAAAAAATAAATAAACAAAAAGAAAAAAAAACTCACACTATGTCATAATAAATGTTTTGTTGTTGTAATTTTGAGCTTACTTTGATTGCATGAATCAACTTACAATAGAAAAGTCATAGGGAGCATCCAGTGTGATGTAAAGGGCATTCTAGGAATAAAACGCAGTAATTTTATTTTAATGCTTATTTCTTTAACGCACACAGAATTACACAACTAATAAATATATAACAAATAATGTCTACTACCATCAACATGAAGATGCCACAGTCAATCCCGTACGGTTGTCATAGGAAAACCCTAGATATCAAAAAGGAGTCAATTATGTAATTATTGTTTTACAGTATTAAATTATTCAACTATTAATATATACATACATTATTATATATTATACATACTTTATACTCTTACCTGAATTTGTAATCCAGTTTTCTCTGTCCAGTTGCCAGGATTTAGTGACTGGGAAAGGTTTCTAAAAGACAGTTGCATTAAAAGATAAATAATAGATAGTAATAGATAATAAAATGATCAATATGGTTTCTTTTCATGAACATGCGTCACTGGTTCCGATTCGGGACAGACCATCCATGCATCCCTTTACATGCAGTCACACTCCACACATAATTTCAAAAGGCTTTTTTATGGTGCCAGTTTCTTGACTCAATTGTCTGAAATATGTTAATGTTGGTAGGTCATCATGTTAAATCTGTAAAACTAATATAAAATTAATAACCATGATTTGATACACAAAACTACAATTATACTTATGTTGCACCATAAAAAGGCTGTCACACAGATCTGAACATGACCTGGTTAAAAAACAAAATACGGAACTCTCTAGAACAGCTTTGGAACATGAACTCCAAAAAGCACACACAAAAAAAAGTGTTTGTTAGTGACCTCAGAAGTCCCCTCATCTCCTTATCACCAAATCTTAACGATGCTTCAGCACATTTGCAGTCAAGAAAGACTATTTCTCTCTGTGTTGGTTTCAAAACCTGTAATTGTAGTTAGTGACATTTGAACTCAACATTGTGTGAAAGGACAACACAACACAAAACAACACAACACAACACAACACAACAACAGTACTGTAATAGAAAATGAAGATACTTTTGTTAACATTTGATATACATTTTCCGTGACATGAAAACCACCTGTTACAGTAAGCATCACTACTTACAGAGAGCAGGAAATGCCCAGGTTTCCACACAGTAATGACAATGGCATCTCTGATTGAAGCATCATTCTAATACAAAGGAAAAGTTCAAAAGCAAACTGGTAACATACACAAGAAATATAATCTGAATAAAATTCAGTAGGACAAGTTGCACTTACACGTAAGCTTGCAAGTGGATCACACAATGTTAGTTTTCCACCACTCATGGGAGAAACCATTGGGGTCGGGTGCGATGCCAAATGGGTGGCAGTAAAGGCAGGGGGCCTAGACAGACCAGACCCGGGCAGCAAAAGCTGGCTTTGGGGATGTGGAATGTCACTTCGTGGGGGGGGAAGGAGCCGGAACTGGTGCGGGAGGTGGAGCACTATCGATTAGATCTGGTGGGGCTTACTTCTACGCACAGTCGAGACTCTGGATCCTTACTCCTGGATAGGGGTTGGACTTTATTCTCTTCTGGAGTTGCCCAAGGTGTGAGGTGCCGGGCTGGTGTGGGGATACTAACTAGCCCCCGGCTGAGAGCCTCTACGTTGGAGTTCACCCCGGTGGACGAGAGGGTCGCCTCCCTACGCCTTCGATCTGTGGGGGGTGGAACTATGACTGTTGTTTGTGCTTAAGCACCAAACAGCAGTGCAGAATATTCTGCCTTCTTGGAGACCCTGAATGAAGTCCTGTATTGGGCTCCAGTAGGGGACTCCAGGGAGACTTCAACGCACATGAGGGCAATGATGGAGATACTTGGGGGGTATGATTGGGAGGGAAGGGCCTCCCCGATTTGAACCAGAGTGGTGTTTTGTTGCTGGACTTCTGTGCTAGTCATGGATTGTCCATAACGAACACCATGTTCGTACATAGGGATGCTCATAAGTGTACGTGGTACCAGAGCACCCTAGGCCAAGGGTCTATGATCGATTTTGTGATCGTATCATCAGACCTGAGGCCGCATGTATTGGACACTCGGGTAAAGAGAGAGGGGGCGGAGCTGTCAACTGATCACCATCTGGTGGTGAGTTGGGTTAGGTGGCGGGGAAAGCCACTGGACTGACCTGGTAAACCCAAACAGGTAGTACGGGTGAACTGGGAACGTCTGGAGGAGGCCCCTGTCCGAGAGACCTTCAACGCCCACCTCCGGCGGAGCTTCTCCTACATTCCTGTGGAGGCGGGGGACATCGAACCGGAGTGGTTGATGTTCAAAGCTTCTATTGCTGAAGCTGCGGCTGTGAGCTGTGGTCTTAAGGTCTTGGGTGCCTCAAGGGGCAGTAACCCTCGAACATGGTGGTGGACACCGGTGGTCAGGGAAGCCATCCGACTGAAGAAGGAGGCCTTCCGGGATATGTTATCCCGGGTGACTCCTGAGGCAGTTGCAGGGTACCAGCAGGCCCGAAGGACTGCAGCCGCAGCTGTGAGGGAAGCAAAACAGCGGGTGTGGGAGGAGTTCGGAGAAGTCATGGAGAAGGCCTTTCAGATGGCACCCAGCCGCTTCTGGAAAACTGTCCGCCACCTCAGGAGGGGGAAGCGGAGAACCATTCAAGCTGTGTACAGTGGGGATGGGACACTGCTGACCTCAACTGAGGAGATAATTGGGCGGTGGAAGGAACACTTTGGGGAACTCCTGAGCCCGATTAGACAAACAAAACAAACCCACCCTCTGTGATAGAGGCAGGGCTGGAGTGTGATGGGGGATCTACATCAATTTCCCTGCGGGAAGTCACTGAGGTAGTCAAACAACTCCACAGTGGCAAAGCCCCGGGGATTGATGAGATTCATCCAGAAATGCTGAGGGGCTGTCTTGGTTGACACGCCTTTTCAACATTGCGTGGAAGTCAGGGACAGCGCCGAAGGAGTGGCGGACTGGGGTGGTGGTTCCCCTATTTAAAAAGGGGGACCAGAGGGTGTGTGCAAATTACAGAGGCATCACACTACTCAGCCTCCCTGGGAAAGTTTACTCTAAGGTGCTGGAAAAGAGGGTCCGGACGATTGTCGAATCTCTGATTGAAGAAGAACAGTGTGGGTTCCGTCCTGGTCGTGGAACAACAGACCAACTCTTTACTCTCTCAGGTGTCCTGGAAGGGGCCTGGGAGTATGCCCATCCGGTCTACATATGCTTTGTGGATTTGTAGAAGGCATATGACCGGGTTCCCCAGGATATCCTGTGGGAAGTGCTGCGGGAGTATGGGGTGAGGGGGCCACTTCTCAGGGCCATCCAAGCCCTGTATTTCCAAAGCGAGAGTTGTGTCCGGATTCTTGGTCGTAAGTTGGACTAGTTTCCAGTGGGTGTTGGCCTCTGCCAGGGCTGCGCCTTGTCACCAATCCTGTTTGTGACTTTCATGGACAGGATATCGAGGTGTAGTCGTGGGGGGTAGGGGTTGCAGTTTGGTGGGCTGAGGATTGCATCGTTGCTTTTTGCGGATGATGTGGTCCTGATGGCATCATTGGCCTGTGACCTTCAGCACTCACTGGATCGGTTCGCAGCTGAGTGTCAAGCGGCTGGGATGAGGGTCAGCACCTCTAAATCAGAGGCCATGGTTCTCAGCAGGAAACCGGTTGATCGTCTACTCCCGGGTAGGGAGTGAGTCCTTACCCCAAGTGAAGGAGTTCAAGTACCTCGGGGTTTTGTTCACGAGCGAGGGTAGAATGGAGCAGGAGATTGGCCAGAGAATTGGGGCAGCAGGGGCGGTATTGCGGTCCCTGTATCGCACTGTTGTCACACAATGAGAGTGTTGAGCCGAAAGGCGAAACTTTCGATCTACCGGTCAATCTTTGTTCCTACCCTCACCTATGGTCATGAGAGATGGGTCGTGACTGAAAGAACGAGATCCCGGGTACAAGCGGCTCTCCTCAGGAGGGTGGCCGGTGTCTCCCTTAGGGATAGGGTGAGAAGCTCGGACATCCGCGAGGGACTCGGAAGTAGAGCCGGTTCAGGCATCTGATGAGGATGCCTCAGGGCGCCTCCCGAGGGAGGCGTTCCTGGCACGTCCAGCTGGGAGGAGGCCACGGGGCAGACCGAGGACCAGGTGGAGAGATTATATCTCAACACTGGCCTGGGAACGCCCAATCAGAGTTGGCTGATGTGGCCAGGGAAAGGGAAGTTTGGGGTCCTCTGCTGAACTTGCTACCCCTGCGACCCGACCCCAGATAAGCGGATGAAGATGAATGAATGAAAAAAATGTATGGTACAATATAGAGGTCAGCCACAAAAATGG